TGCAAAATCTGGAACGTGTGGCTGATGAGTACCGCAGAAGTTCTGGACGTGACATTTCAGATGACATTCTTTTGTCGACGTTGGTGCGTGTTCTCCCAAGAGATGTTCAGCGTCATGTGCAATTGACCATGTCAGAGACCTCTACGTATGCTGAAGTTCGTGAGCTGGTAGTTGCCCATGAGCGCATTGCTTTCAACTGGTCTCGTGATAGGGTTTTGGCTGACGTTGGCGCTGGACCATTGGGGACTGTGACGTCCTATGCAAGTGGGGATGGAGGATCAGCACCAATGGAGGTGAATCTGGTCAAAGGCAAAGGCAAGCAAAAGGGCAAGAACAACAATGGTAAAGGCAAGGGAAAAGGGAAGCCCGTTTTTCCGAAAGGCAAAAGTAAGGGCAAAGCGTCAGACAAAGGCAAGGGCAAGAGCAACAATGGCAAGGGCTATGGCGACAATGCCAAAAGCTCATCAAAAGGTGGTTCTTCCGGCAAGTTGGACGCAAATACTTGCGCCTATTGTGGCAAATCTGGACATTGGGCCAAGGACTGTCACAAAAAGAAGGCTGACATGCAGGTGCGACAGGTGGAAGACAGTGACCCCAAAGACACTGCCTACTCTGGAACTGCAACGGCTTCGACGTCAGCAGTGCGTGCAGTACAAATCTTGGAGCCACCCATCTTTGAGCCGCCCATGGATTTTCCTTACGTTGAGGATTTGACAGTGTTTTCACAGCCCTCAAGCAGTAGCAGTCCATTCAGGTTGTGCATGGTTTCATCAACTTGCAGTGTTTGTTCAACAGCTTGCGTTGAGTATGACATGACATGCACCGATGATGATCAGTTTTGGACGCTTAGGCTTAGCCCCAGCCTCAAAACATGTTGCATCGATGAGTTTTCCCTTGAAACTGCTCAGCATGTGCGTGTGGTGATTGATGAACTGTCAGATGATGGTCATGTTTGCACACCATGTGATGTGATTCTTGACAGTGGTGCTGATACAAGCGTGCTGCCCTTACGATTCAGTCATGTTGGAGAGAGCTGTGATGCGCCAAACACCACGTTTGTTGATGCTCAGGGATGTCCTTTGTCAATTGCATCAACACGCATTGCTACTTTGCAGTTTGGAAAGGTTGCATTCAGAGAAAAGTTCATTGTTGCAGATGTCACAACACCTTTGATTGCACTTGGACACATCATACGTTCTGGCTGGAGTTTGGTGCAACGAGAGTCAGGGCCTTGCTTGGTGAAAGGTGAGAACAGCATTGAGGTTCTTTACAGAAACAATTCACTTTGTGCTCGAGGTGTGATTTCCATGGTGGGTGAGGTTGCCCCTTCAGATGCCATTCCAGCGGTGCGTGCAGTTCAACTTGGCATCGTTCTCAGGACACTCTCAGCTGGTTGGAACAAGTTGAGCCCTCAACTCTATGCGATCAAAACACATGTTGCAAAGTTTGTTGACACAACTACAGCACCATCAGATGAAATCATGTGGCTTCGTACAACCTTGGTTTGCCGTGAAGGTGGCATTTGGGAGGTCCAGGAGTTTTGTGAGGCCATTGGTGAATTGCCGGCAGGCATCGACGAGGAGATACCTTTTCCTGAGTCAGTGCTGGAAGTTGTGACGATAGCACACAAATATGCCATGCCTGCAGAAAATCTTGGGTTTTACATGCCTGACTATGGTTTGACTGCCCCCGATGAACAAGGTGACATGCCACAGCTTGATACTGACAAAGGTGCAGATGACAAGAGCTCAGGCTATGAGGCCAGTGTTTTGAGTGATGCTGCAGATGAGGCCCCAGTTGCAGGCCAAGATGGTGAGCCATTGGAGCAAGACCGTGAAATCCCAAAGGATCCAGATGAGGCTGTTGTCAATGTTGATGGAAGCAATTTGACAATCAACAGCCCACTCAGAGCCCTGCGTGCTGGTTGTGTGTTTTTGGGCCTTTCAAAACGAGGCAGCAAACAGCAGTGCATGAAACGCATGTTGGACCATTTGCAAACGCAGACACTTGTTGCAGCGCATGGAGCTGAAGTTAGACTCAGAGCAGAAACAGAAAGGGAAGTACGTGGCCAAAGCATCCCAAAGCCGCCGACAGATGAGGAACGCCAGACCCATAGTTTGACGCATGAGCCCTATCAACCTTGGTGTGAGCTTTGTGTGATGCATAGGGGACGCCAAGATCCTCATCCAAAGAGTTCTCATGAGCATGGTGGCCACAGTGTACTTTCGTATGATTTTTGTTTCTGCACCCGCAAGCCTGGTGAGGATGACAAACAGACATGTCTTGTGCTGCATGACAGGGACACACAACTTGTCCATGCAATTCCAACGTTGCAAAAGGCTGGAAAATCATTGCAGTATTTGGTGACTGAGTTTGTGAGATTCATCATGCACACGCAGCACAAGGAGCTCTCACTGCGTTCAGACCTTGAGCCATCCAACTTGGCCATTGCAGATGCAGTGCGTAAGACATGCAGAGGACTTGGAATTGTTGTACATCATGAACCCATTGCAAAAGGGGACCATCAGCAGAATGGTGCAGTTGAATCCACCTTGCAGCAGTTGCGTTTGAAGGCTCGAATCTTGGTTTCTCAAATCGAAAAGGCAGTTGGTGGTGAACAGTTGATTTTTCCTGCGACACATCCAATTTTCAATTGGGCTTTGCTTCATGCTGCATGGTTGAGCAATCGATACGTTGTCAAGCAGGGAACCACAGCATTTGAAAGGAGCGCTGACCGCATGTACACTGGAAAGCTTTGCATGTTTGGTGAAACAGTTCTTGGATACATCAAGACAGATCGAAAAGCGGCGCCACGCTGGGCTAAAGGAATCTGGTTGGGCAAAACACTCACAAACGACACTCATATCATTGCCCATGGATCTGGAGTGTTTGTGACCCGCAGTGTGCGTCGACTTCCTACACCTTTTGTGCTGGAGGAGCTTGGAGCGATGGAGTTTGGCCCATGGGAGTTTGGTTATGCAGCATTGGGTCATCGGATGGTTTACAACAAGCATCTTTGACCTCCAATGCCAGTTGGCATGCCATCGATTGATGTGGAAGCTGTTCAGGTGAAGAAGTATGCGCAGGAGAATCCCAATGAAGATTTGGAACCAGAGCCGCCAGCTCAGGCGGGGCAGATGCATCTGGCTCCAGCAGATCCACAATCTATGATGCCAGAAGCTCCTCATGCAGAAGGTCAGAAGAGACTTGAACCAGAAGATTTGGAGCAACAAGGGGATGCAAAGAAACTGCGCATCGGTGAGGAACAGCCTGTTACTCCACCTGATGACACCATGGACAATGCTGGTGAAAGAGCCCCAAAAACTCCGAGGCTTACAGACTCACCCAAACAACAGCGCATGAACCAGGTGACTTCAACTGACCTGGATCTTTACGAGCATGAGGATAGCGCTGTGCAATTTCAGTTTGACAATGATGATTTGGACAGGCTTGAACAGTATGAGATGAAGTTCTATGACCATGAGTTTTTGGTTTCAGATGATTCAGAGGCCAATGATGATTGTGAGATGGCCCGCATCCTGCAAGAGCTCACTTTTCCATACAGCTTGAAAGAGCCAGATGTGACTGCAGCTGAGCTGACCCGTCTTGATGCACTGGCTGATCAGTTGGAGCTTAAGCGTTTGGAAAGTGGGTGAATCATGGGCACCATGAAAGCCTTGTCTTTTCAACCCAGCGTAGGAACGTAGCGCACAAGGTCGTTTTAAGGTAAACCAAAAAAAAAAGGAACACAAACTGAATCTGGAAACAATCTGGTGAAACCGGTTTGTGTCAAAGTTTTTATGTCTGGCTGTTATACAGTATTATTTTCGAAGTGACATGTCTCATGGTCATCTGTTTGGATTTTACATCTCAAACCAAGGGATGTGGTGGGCGGGTTTCACACAGAAAACATTTCTGTGATTTTCCCATAGTTTTTGCATGCGTCGAGCTGGACTTGCTAAACGGAAGGGTGCAACGGCTTACAACGCTCCTTTACAGCTGGGCAAGATTCCATTCAAACCTTCGTTTGGGATTTCTTTTACCTGTGGCTGTTTTTGTGGAGTTGCAATCACCTTTTTCGCCTTACTGGCTTGGTTGCTGCAAATGGATATCACCGAATAAATCTAACCACGGTGTCTTTTGCACTTACAGTTCTATTTTCACTGTGCTTCTTTTTGCCGGGGGAAGAACACTCAAGCAAGATGCCATGGAGGTCAAATACAGGTGTGCCTTTTGGGAACGCTATCTATGACAACCAGGAATTTTTGGAGGGGTCAGAAGCTTCAGGTTTTTCTGGAGATGCAGCTGCTGCGGACGGTCAGCATGATCCTTCTGGAAGCATGTTTGGGGGCCCTTTTGATGCAGAAGCCTTCTCAGTGGTTGATTCACAGCCGGGTCATGCAGACGATGGTCATGGTGTTCATTTGGACGCAGGGCTAGTAGCAGCAGAGCCGGCCCGGAAGAGGCAGGCATTGGACATGGCTTTGCAAAAGGGCACAGGCCCGGACAAGAGGCTCTTTTTCAGCATGTTGAAACTGCGGTGCACGGGAGTGCCAAAGATGCCATGGGACTCAGGTGTTGCTGCAGATGTGTTCGAAAAAGGGCCAGTCAATTTACCCATGCCGTGGTTGGCATTGCCTACTGTGGGAAGACGTGAAAGTTTGCAAGGGTTGGTACCCTCAGCTGAGCCTCCAGAGAGAACAGCATCCCGGACTCCTTTTCATCAGAAGAGACTGTTAACGGTGAGACTGGCTCAAACGGACGATCAGCTGCGTGCAAAGGCTTTGAGGCGTCTCAGAGACCTGATCCTTGCAGTGCCTCCCCATACACAGCTTGGCCGGGCACTTTTGGATACTTCAGGACAGTTGACAGGTGAGGACATGATTTCATGTGTTTTTGCAGACGCTTTCCGGAGTAGAGCCACTGCAACACTTGTCAAACGTTCAATGGATTATTACAAGATGGCTTTATGGATGAATCAGCACTTAGGGCTGCAACCGATGCAACTGACTGAGAGCGTGGCGTATCGGTATTTGAGTTTCTTGAGGGAAACAAGTGCGGCACCGACCTTAGCTGATGCAACAGTCAAAGCAATTTGGTTCATGCACTCCACAGCCAACATTGTTGACTTTCATCCAAAAGTTTTCACATCGCGCATTACTGGCGTGTGCAGGGACATGTATTTGAGGAAGAGGATCTTGAGGCAAGCACCTCCCTTTCCTGCTGACGTTGTCCGAGCCCTGGAAGAGTACGCACTGCATGCTGAGAGTAAGGTAGAATCGATGTTTACAAATTTCATCCTCTTTTGCATCTTCTCAAGTTGTCGCATTGGAGATGCTGCCAAAATCAGGGACGTAGAATTTTCCAGATGCCACGACATTTTCTTGGTGGAAGCTGCGACCTCAGAGGCAAAGAATACAAACACCATGGAGAGACGACGGATGCTGCTGCCTTTTACAGCCATTGGTTGGGGCCTTCATCCGAATCCTTGGTGCATCAAATGGGAAATGCAGTTGAAAGCAATGCAACCAGATACAATCATGCCTGCTTTCTCTGAAGTGTCAGGGCAGTTCATGAAACGACGCATCACAACAGCGGAAGCCAACTTGTGGCTGCGAGAGGTGCTGGTGCGCTCAGGCCTTACCCCAGTACAAGCCGCCAAGTACAGCACCCACAGCTGCAAGGCAACTATCCCTACTTGGGCTGGAAAATTTGGGGGCTTCTCCATGGACGAGCGTCGCATGTTAACGCACCACATGGATGCCAATGCTTTGATGCCACTGTCATACTCCCGAGACAATCTGACGGCTTTGCATTCCAGAGTTTTCAGGATGTTGACAGCCATCAGAAATTTTGAATTTAATCCAGATGATTCCAATGCTGCCCGCATTTTCCAGGAGAACCGTGACCTTCTGGAGGAGCCTGAAGGGCGCCCACAGCCTCCCGGCGATTGGGCAGCCTCTGAATCAGATGTGTCTGAAGAGGAGAGTTTTGTGGAAAGCTGCAATTTTGTTGGGACCCAGTCGGCGCCAGCCGACACAGTGACTGGACCGAAACTTGTGCACAGAGACTCCTTGGTGGTTCATGTCAAGCGTGACAACCACACCCTGTGGTGTGGCCGTAAGCTGTCGCAGAACTACCGGCAGTGGCAAGAGGGCGATCCAGACATGGCCCAACTGCTGGTTTGCCAACAATGTGATAAGGCGCAGCCGTGAGAGCAGCGAAAAAGAGGGGGGCCAAGGGTGACCAAGTTTGAGGCGGTGATCCCGCAATCCAAACAGGTTTCTGCCATGCACCTTGAATAACCCATACTTAACCCCTTCTTATACTTCCTTGCTCTTTATATATATATATGTATGTATATACATATATGTATATATATATAACTCATGTGTCCCTTAGTATGGTCACTGCATCAAGTTTGAGGCGGCAAGGTCGCGATCCAAACTCATTACAATGCCAGGAGTGACAAATACATTTCAATGGGCCAATTCTGAGAAACTCACTTTCAAAAGCATGCAAGTTTGAGGTGACATCAGTCACAATCCAAACAAAAACCTCGCATGCCATGATTGGTTGAGTTGTGAATTTCCGGCCGCAACATCCTTGTGCATCAAGTTTGAGGCGGCGCCAGTCGCAATCCAAACAGATGTCATGGGTCAGCGTTCAGGAATTTTTCATTGCATCAAGAATCCCATATGACCATCCTTTTTATGAACTTGGACTTTCATGACTTCAAGGTTCCTTCACGACCACCGGTGCCATTAATCCACACCTTTGCATTTTGTCCAATTTCTCGGTCAGCCATCGGCGACAAATTCTGCCATGGTTTCACTGGAGTCAAAAGCTGCATGGGAGGCACGGGCACGTGCCATTGGTGTGCCCGAAGGATTTCTGGTTGAGCTTCAAGGCTGCAATTTGGATACCTTTGGACAATGGGCGTTTTGCTGCCAATGCGACCAGAACAGTGTGGATGACTCTCCCATACAGACCGCTGTAGAAGCCTTACTGGGGCGTGCTGTTACCCCCCAGGAAATGGTTTTGTGCAGAAGGCTATACTTTGAAGGCCGAACCTATGCAGCTTCAGACATGCAGGCAAGGATTGATCGTTCAGCAGATGATAAACCCAGAGCCATGCCACTTGCAGAACGCATGGCCAGAATCGAGCGCCAGAAAGGTGATTTGATAGGTGTCACATGGACGGCCGAGCTGGAGCCATCCCACAAGTTAGTTGACAAGATTGTGGCGATGCAGGATGAGGGCGCTTTGTTATTCATACCACCACATGCTTGCGTCAGTAGAGTGCAAGAGATCCATCAAGAGAAGCACGAGGTCGCCCTTACTTTCGACTCAGCTGGCAATATCCGCATGGGCAAGAAAGCAGAGGAGCTCAAGTGCGACACCAACGGCGATCTCAACCTGCGGAACGCCTGGACAAGAAGGAACCTGGCGTATGATCAGGCTGGACTTGCGAGCTTTGTGGTTTTGGAGAAATGGACAACAAAGTTGATGCTGGCCAAACTTAAGGAGCCACCACCTGGATACCGATACATCACCACACAGCAAATCTGTGAATGCGACAAAGAGATGTGGCTGCTACTCTCTCAGCTCTCGAGGGGGAAGCTGCAGCCAATGGCACCTGATATAAGACCACTGGATACTCTCATCGAGCAAATCACAACCTCTCCTGAGGTCCTATGCTTTTTGGCGCCGCTGCCAAGTGCGAAACGTGAAGCCAGTGATCATGCCGATACCCCAGGGCCCAAAAAGCCCAAGCCTAGCCCTGGGGGACCATCGGCAACAACGAAGCCGACACCACAGGCCGCTGACCAGTCTGCCGGTGCCACCAACTGGCGTAAAGTACCCCAGGGGTGCCAACGCAAGGGGACCAATGGATGGCGCTGTTTGAAATTCCAATGGGGCTTGTGCAATCGCCAAAAAGAAAACAAATGCAAGTTTGGAGTCCATGAATGCTTCAAGTGCGGGGCCAAGCGGCCTTACAATCAATGCGAACACTGACTCCAAGCATCGACAGAGCAACCCGTCAATCAACGACAAACGACGTTTATTGAGTTTTTCCCAAGGTCAGGAGTGTTTTCCCTGGCCACGGAAAAAGCGGGATGCCAAGTCTTTGCAGTTGACCATCAGGCCAACCGTTTCACGCCAAAGGTGCCAGCTTTCACCGTAGTTCTGAGCCTTGAAATCGAAGACACAACGGCAAATCAGATGTTGGAATTTCTGAAACTTGATGCAGTCCATTTTGGACTCATGTGTGGGACATGCAACAATGCCGGACAAATCATTTTGATTGGAAACCCAGTCCATAGCTGGCTGTGGCCCCTTTTGGCCATACTGGTCGCACAGACCGCCAAAGAGGAATTCATTATCTGGTACTTTTCGCTGGAGGCCACAATGTTCCAAACGTGCATGCAGTTTGAGGTGTGTATAAATGGCTTTTCACACAACCAAAGCACTATAATTTTGGACTCTCCGGGCGTCTTCAACTCCCTCGCAGTGCAGTGTGGCCACTCTCATAGCCACGAACCTTGGCCAGCTAAAAAGTTAGACGACCAGGGTTGGGTTTCCGATACAGCAGCAAAAGCAGAGTACCCTGCCAATATTGCTGGCCCTAGTCAGCATGCGCACGCACAGCAATACCGTGCGCTACAGCAGCACTTTGAGGCTTCCCATTGGCTACCAGCGGATGCCAAACCAGTTGCAAATGGAGAGCCACTGCCACCTAAAACAGCGGGGGAAGAAGTTGAGGTGGCTGCCGCCGTGCGGTCTAGTAGAGGTCACCTACATGGACGTGGTCTCAAAGTAGGAGTTGGGACGGAACCGGAATTTCGCGTTACAAAGGAGCTATATCTTCATCATCCAATGGATACAACAATAGCGCAGCTCGACCCTCTGGACAAAGCCCTTTTGGCCGCGCTCACCAAAGAACCGGCAGTGCGCGTCAGAGATTGTTTGGAAATGCTGAGGCTCTACAAAGCCCTTTTGGCCATGCTCACCAAAGAACCAGCAGTGCTAGTCGGAGATTGTTTGGAAATGCCGAGGCTCTACAAAGCCCTGTTGACCATGCTCACCAAAGAACCGGAAGTGCTTGCCAGAGATCGTTTGGAAATGCTGAAGCTCTACGGTGATAGAGCAGCTGACCTGCTTGCTGCGGAGACGGAGTTGCATAACAAGCTTCTTGCGCATGGCCAAGGAGCTGTTCAAGGCAAACGCCTAATGCTTTTTGGAGAATGTTTGAAGGCCCACTCTTTTCCAGGCATGAGAGTTGTGCATGTTTTTACGGAAGATAATTACCATGAGAGTGGACACGTAGATAGGCTTGTTGAGCTGTCGCAAGAAGAAGTGGTAGAGCTCCTTCTCAAGGAGCCATTTTTCTTAGAAGAGGAAGTATCAACAGAGCTGGGCATGACATTTTGGACGCTGACTAGCAGCTTCCTGCTCGTGCGGGGGGATGACGGAAAGGAGCGCACCATTGATGGCTACAGACGGCGCCCTGATGACACGGCCCTTCATTCCAGGTTGCACCTGGGGCTGCACTATGTAAAGGTGGCGCCTGCTTTGGAAACTCGCCTAATATGCCTGTTGCGGGTAGGGCCACATGTTCCAATTCAACTTCGCGACGGCACTGGTTTGCGAGGTGGGCTTTCCCGAACGGCTAGGTCTGACAAGGCCTTTCTATGGGGGTGCTTTGACTTGCCAAAAGCCTACAAGCAACTGGCGACGAGTGTGCGAGCCTTAGGTGTCCACAGCTTTGACGAGATAACCAGGGCCCTACAGGTTTTACTTTGGGAAGACTTGGGGACACAAACCACAGATTTTTATGATGGCTACCCAACCTTTTATTTTACTGTTGCTGCAATGAACACCACCCAAGTGGTATCGGGCTTTTCCAATGCTTGGTCGGAGACGTGCAGTGAATGCAAGGGCTCCGAAACTTTGAATCGGGGTTTGCAATGGGCAAAGCTTTACAGCCAGAAGCGCGGGGGTACCCGTCCTTGGCAATGGGAGCAGCCTTTCCCCTTGCAACCTCGGCGAACCTGTGCGAACACTCCTGATGGCCCTCAAGTAGCTCAAACCTTGTAAGGAGGGAAAACAATCGAAGCGTGCCAAATGATGGCCTGCCAAGATGAATCCCGAGCGTCGGAGATGACATTGCTTTGATGGCCAAGCCTCTCACTTCCATCTTAGATGGAGCACCATCTCCTCAGATTGCCTGGAAGGAAGGGGGATGTAACCTGGATCCTCGAACAACGGGGGAAACACATGGATCCTTCAAATGGCTGAGGTCTCTTAGAGATAATCCGGCCACAGGAGGAAAAACACATATGTGACGGGTGACAGAAATAAGATCACAACAGTCACTTCGAACCGTGTGACCACTCCCCCGACCTTGCCGGCAAAAAGGAGTGCGGCTGGCAGCGTTTCAAATTTCCCATCCGAAAGGGGTTGACGATTTTCATTTTGCGGCGAAAGAATTTTTGAACCGATTTTAATTATTGACTTTTGTTTGGCGAATCCTATTACGCGCTTCCGTATCTTGGAGGTTTCCTTCTAAACGGCCTTGGGGGTTGTAAAGACGTGGGTGAATCATGGGCACCATGAAAGCCTTGTCTTTTCAACCCAGCGTAGGAACGTAGCGCACAAGGTCGTTTTAAGGTAAACCAAAAAAAAGGAACACAAACTGAATCTGGAAACAATCTGGTGAAACCGGTTTGTGTCAAAGTTTTTATGTCTGGCTGTTATACAGTATTATTTTCGAAGTGACATGTCTCATGGTCATCTGTTTGGATTTTACATCTCAAACCAAGGGATGTGGTGGGCGGGTTTCACACAGAAAACATTTCTGTGATTTTCCCATAGTTTTTGACCCTCCCAACATTCCTCTTCGAGTCACCCACCCTCAAAAACTGGGGGAAACACATGGATCCTTCAAATGGCTGAGGTCTCTTAGAGATAATCCGGCCACAGGAGGGGAAACACATGGATCCTTCAAATGGCTGAGGTCTCTTAGAGATAATCCGGCCACAGGAGGAAAAACACATATGTGACGGGTGACAGAAATAAGATCACAACAGTCACTTCGAACCGTGTGACCACTCCCCCGACCTTGCCGGCAAAAAGGAGTGCGGCTGGCAGCGTTTCAAATTTCCCATCCGAAAGGGGTTGACGATTTTCATTTTGCGGCGAAAGAATTTTTGAACCGATTTTAATTATTGACTTTTGTTTGGCGAATCCTATTACGCGCTTCCGTATCTTGGAGGTTTCCTTCTAAACGGCCTTGGGGGTTGTAAAGACAACTATGTGTCTTGCAGGACCCCTCAACTGTTGCTGCCAATTCCGAAGTTTTGTCAACACGTTTTGTAAGAACATGGCGTGAAAAACACAACTCAAACGGTGAGCCCATCTGGTTACGAAGATCACGATTTGTAGCTCGTGAATTTGCTTGGTTGGAACCTGAAAGAGAGAGCCTTTTCAGTCCAGCTTCGGGCAACATCATATCACGCATTGTGCCTACGGTTTTCTTGGAGATGCGTGAGACCCAGAGTTTTGATGTGGTCCTTGCAAGCTTGGATGTTCGTGATGCTTTCTTGACAGTGCAGCAGGAATGCCCTACCTTGGTTCACACAACTGATGCCAGCGGCAACAGCAGAAGTTTTGCACTTGGAAGAGTGCTCCCAGGTCAGAGAGATGGCAGTCTCCTATGGTACAAAGCAATAACGAAGTTTCTGAAAGAGCGCTTGGACCTGGAGGAGCATGCACCGTATCCTTGTGTGTTGAAATCAAAGGACAACTCATGTGTTGTGATGATTCATGTTGATGATCTTTTGATCGCTGGCCGCAAAAGTTTTGTGATGGGAAAGTTTTCAGAAGAGCTGCGCAAGTTCTATGACATTTCCATGCAGTGCATCGAAAAGCCTGGTGATGAGATCACGTTTTTGAAAAGGGTTCATGTCTTGCAGCCAGATGGAAGATTGACTTTGCAGACCCACCACAAACATGTGATGCAACTTTGTTCACTGCTTGGAATGAATGTGAAAACACAGAATAAAAAGAGCCCTGGACACAGCGATATCGACATGGAGGATACCACAGAAGAGCTGACTGCGGAAAAATCCACGGTTTTTCGAACTTGCGTTGGGATTTTGATGTACTTGGCAAACGACTTGCCGCACTGTCAGCACGTGATCAGACATCTTTCGACATACAGCTCAAACCCGAATGAAAAGAGCATGGTCGTGCTCAAACACTTAGTGGCATACCTTGCATGCCATGGTGATATTTCAGTTTCGCTGAAATGGACTGGAAGGTGCAGTGGTATCTACCATGGGTATCCTGACATTTCTCAAAGTGACAACGTTCTGGAGATTTTTACTGACAGTGATTGGGCCAGTGACCGCAATACACGACGATCAGTCAGCTGCTGCGTGATGTTTCTGGGCTCATGCCTTTTGTTCTCAGCTTCGAGGACGCAAAAGGTGGTGAGTTTGAGCTCAGCTGAAGCAGAAGTCTATGCATGTGGTGCCAGTGATGGAATCCTTTTGAGTCGTTTGGTTTCATGGCTGACTGGACGCAAAACTTGGATGATCATATACACAGACAGCAGTGGGGCAAAGGGCATACTCCAACGACAGGGGGTAGGCCGACTTCGACACCTGTCATGCCGAGTGCTTTGGCTACAGAATCTCATTGCTTGTGGCTCCATCATCCTGCGTTCAATCAGTGGCCATGTCAATCCTGCAGACATAGGAACAAAGAGACTCAGTACTGGCCGAATGAAACCCCTGATGTCCATCTTGGGACTGTTCAATCATTCAACAGGTGCGTTGGAAGGTTGTGACGACCCTGGAAGAGTTTTCACGCAGAGACAAAGCATCAGGTCAATCCTTTGCGCCTTGAGCCTACTGCAACTCAAAGGCTGTGACACAGAAGTCTTTGAGGACAGCTCGAATGCCATTTTGGCAACCATGGTGATTGGATTTTTGATGATTCTTCCTTTGGTATTCTCAATGCTTGGATGGTTTTCAACATCAACAAATTCGAATGCATCAGCGACAACGCTTTCTCACACTCCCTTGATGCCAGGAAGTTCAAATGCAGAACCTGCAGCTTTGGATCAAGCAGATGATGAGAGCGTTTCTGGAGATCCAATTCCAGAAAGTGCAGCTGCTATCACTCAGGCACTCATGAGAGGTGCAGCTAGCAGCAGTTCCAATTTGCCTGCTACAGGTCCCTGCTCGACAGATTCCTCAGGGATGCCTCTCTTTGACACACCTGCAGACCTGCCCTTTCCAAACGAGAGTTGAACTTGGTCTCCGGAGGCAATGCTCACCTGGATGTATAACAGGTGTTTGAGACGCCTTGGAACTTGTGAGACTGAAGAGCGCAAGGCACTCTACCAGCAGAGGCTTGTGGTGCTTCGACAGGTGATGCAATCTTGTCGAAGTGGCGACCCTGAGACACGTTTTGCTGCAAGTCAGATGACAAGGTCAATGCAAGATTTGTCTGATGACGAGGAGTCGCCATTGCATCAGATGAGCTACATCCAAGTGGTGAATGAGATGGATGCAGCAGAACAGGCCTTTCACATTGGTTCTGCCATAGCAGATACTGTCAGCGCAGGTTCCAGCAATGATCATGTGGGTGAAAGCAGACATGTTGATGCCGTTGCAGCCAACCTGATGCGCATGCTTGATGAAGATGATGAAAATCAAGAAGAGGAAAGCGATTCCGATGATTGGATGGAAACAGAAAGCCAACGTCGCCAACGCTACCTCAACAGTGAGTTGTGCGAGTGTAGTGACCCAGATGAATGGATGGCATATCACCACGGTTCAGACCCCGTTTCAGACTCTGATGGATCGTGAAGTGGGCGCCACCATTTGAATTTAGGGTAGAATCCTAGTGATCACAGCCCTTTTGAAACCAGTCTCAAAGAGACATTGCAAGTATGGCACAGCAAAGTTCTGCCCCAGCGGCTTTCAATTTGGCTGCGCAAAGGCTTGGAATCATTTAGCGTCTGCTACCAAGTTAAAACTGGTAGCAAGGCGGGGTGCAAGTCATTTACGTTTAGGTAGATCTACTGTTTAGCTGAAGCTTTGCACTCCATGTCACATAGATGATCAGTGTAGTATCTGTTCTTATCCGAGGGCGCTTTGTGATTCCAGGAAAAGAAGCAAATTGAGAGAACACGCATTTGCTGAATGACAGAAAGATTCTACGAAGAATCTACAGTAGTGCTCATGTCTGTCAATATGGTGTTCATGGCCACTGCATGAAGGATGACACGCACAAACCGAGACAGTGCAAACAATAGGAACCAGTTCCATTTGCATGTGAAATCACATGAACGTTTCTGCACAGAACTCCTGTGTGACCGTGTGCAGGCCCTGGTTCAAAACAATAGTGTCCGAGCATTGCCGTTCTTTTCGCATGGTAGCGGAGCTCGGCCCTAGCTCCAGCTACTGATCGTCGCTGTGAGCCATTGACTGACTTTTGGACATTGCTGGCATTGACAGGTTTGGAATCCACAGGTGGAACATTTCCTTAACTCTGGACATCAGGTTGCACACTGACCTTAGGTCTATCTGCATTTCTGGTATACACAGGTTTCTGAAGTGGCGTGGGATTCTTGATTTCATTGCGTGGCTTTGCAACAGTGGATTTACGTTGTGGTTCACTTCTCAGTGATTATTGACTGCTTGAGGTTGATACAATCTTTTAGCTTGGTACATTGCAATACAGGGATTTTCATTGATCTGACTGTGCAGTGGCAGCTGGATTGTTGGTGGTTTCGAGATGTCCCAGCAGGTGGATGTTGGAATATTTCAGGCTGCGCTCCTGCAGGTTGCAGAGGCGACACAGAGGGCAGCTGATGCTGCTCAGGCAGCTTAGTGCAGCTGCAACAGCCAGTTCAGCGGCTGTTACAGCCACCTCTACAGCAGGTGGATCGTCGGGGAGCAGCAGCAGTCGACCACAAGCTCAGGTTGATTGGTCGAAGTTAGTGAACAAACCTGCAGTGTTTGGCTTTCCGAATCAGGAGCAGGACCAGAGACACTTTCGTGACTGGTTGTGGCAACTTTCACAGTACTTGATTTGTGTCGATGAAGGTTTCAGCAAAGAATTGACTCAAATTACAGATGATCCTTCAAAGATGTTGGATGTTGATTCAGCTTCCATCGATGTCAGACAGCGTTCAGCAAAATTATACGGGTTGCTTGCTGGTTTGGTGAAAAATCGTGCACTCTCGATAGTGCGGGCCGCACCTCCTGGGAATGGCTATGAAGCCTTGCGGCAATTAGTGTTGTCGATGAGGCCTAACACCCAGGCCCGTGGCCTATCCTTGCTGGCCAGTGTGACTGCATGGCCATCCTTCCAGATGAGCAAACCCTTACAAGCTCAACTTTTGAAGTTGGAGGATGCATACGAAGAGACCCGAAGAGCTGGCACTACGCTTGCGGACGAGCTGAAGTGTGCCATTTTGCTACGTTGTTTGTCGGGAGCTTTGAAGACCCATTTGAGTTTGAGTTTGAGTTTGAAGGAAAGCTCAACGTACCTGGAGCTCAGAGAGGAGATCTTGAGGTGGGACCGTGCTCATCAAAAGTGGTCCAATTTGGTTTCAAATACAGATGAGTCTTCAGATGTGAAACCCATGGAAGTCGACAGAATCCAAGGCAAGGGAAAAGGCCATGACAAAGGCAAAGGAAAGAATGACAAAGGAAACCAGAAAGGAAAGTCAAAGCAGAAGGGTAAAGACAAAGGCAAGACCAAGAACAACAATGACAAAGGCGGTCAATCAGGAAAAGGAAAGTCAGTCCAAAATCCAGGGAAAGGCAAAGGAAAAGGCGAACGAGTTTGCTATGTCTGCAACAAGCCTGGCCATCTGGCCAAAGACTGCTGGAGCAATGTGAGGAATGTGCAAGCAGCTTCATCAGTTGGGGATTCGAGTCAGTCTGGATGGACGAATCTCACAAGTGTTTCTCAACAGGGAGCTGGGAATCAATCAGTTCAACAAGTTCCTCAACAAGGCCAGCAGCAACAATCGATGCAGCAGGCAACTCAGTTTCGAGTTTCACGAATCTCCGAATCGGTGGAGACGAATTCATTTGTGTGTGATTTGCGTGACAGTCCATTGTCAAGCCCCAAGTCGTTTTCAGGTTCTGTTAGAGCAATGCATTTCTACATTGGGGATGACACTGAAGATCATTTGCAAGAAGGAGAAATTCGAACAATCATTAGTGAGTTACCTTCAGATGCTGGTGAGATGTGTAACATCCTGTTAGACTCTGGAGCAGATGCAGCAGTTTTCCCCATGCAATTTGCAGCTTGCGGAATGGATGCGTGCGAGACCTCGGCCAAGTTACATGATGCACAAGGTCAAGTGATTCCAGTTCAATCGATGCGTGATGTTGAGATTACATGGATGGATGAAACTGGTAAACTTGTGCTTTTGAGAGAGCGTGTTGCAGTGTCTCCGCATGTCAGCCAGCCTATTTTGTGCTATGGGCGACTCCTACAAGCAGGTTGGGGAATGGACTCCAGGGAACAGGCATTGGTGCACGAAGCTGGTGTGAAGGTTCCAATCGATTTGCAAAACATGAGCTTGACAGTCAAAGGTTGGATTCGTGTGATCAGTTCAGATGATGTTGAACCTGCCCATTCACCTCAGGCATTGGTACGTGCAGTTCGAGCGGATGTGACTCCGTTGATGCGCATGGGCCCTATGGGTTGGAATCTGGATTCAACAAACTGTGGCATCGGTCGTCACCATTCAGATCATTTCCAAGATCCTACACTTATTCGTCCTGACATGTCTGGAAAGATGTATCGTACAACATTGATCAGAGACAAAGGCGAATGGTATGTGCTTGAACTTTGTGAGTTGCTTGAGACTCTTGTGGATTTGAATGCAGAGATCTATGGATATGATGGACCGAGAGACATCATTACGGTGATCACTGACGCCGAGAAGGACCCTGCATTGATGGGATTTTCATTGCTTGGTGATGAAGCACCGTTGTTCCCTGATCCTGAAAGGTTGCCTGATGATGAGGTTCAACTGGCACCAGAGGATGCTGTTGTTGGGCGTGACATTGAGGGTGAGATGCAGGTGGCAGGAGGAGCAGAAGTGCCTTTGGAAGGCAGGCTGGTTTTCACTCCTTCTCCAACAGACATGGTTTTGGTGAATGGTGTTGAATTGACTCCAGAGAGCTCTTTACAATCTTGGCGCACTGCACTCACTTTTCATGGGCTCAGTACTTCAGGATCGAAATCCAAGTGCTTCACACGTTTGTTGAATCATCAAAAGCAACAAGAGTTGGAGATCATTCATGCAGCTACAAAGCAGTATCATTCTGATTTGGCAAGGGCTCCAAAAGCGGTGGACTTGAAGGTGCCTCCATCTGAGGAGGAGCAGCAGTTGCACAACTTGTCCCACCTGCCGTATGCGCCTTGGTGCTCGAGCTGTGTTTGCTTTAGAGCTCGAGCAGACAAACAACAGAGATCAGATGGTGCAAGGCGTGCAGGTACAGCAACTGTTTCATTCGACTTTTGCTACACCAAATCAGTGCCTGAGTCAATGGATGAGAAGAACATTGATACAATGGTGTGTCTTGTGATGGTTGATAGCGTGACAGGTTACCTGCATGCAGTTCCATTGAGGAGCAAGAATCAGTGGAGTTTGATGGTCAGAGAATTACTTGGCTTCGCTGGGATCCTCGGTCATGCTGAAATGGTTTTCATGTGTGACAACGAACCGAGTTTACTGCAATTGCAACGGATGGTGGTCAATGCAAGACTCAGCATGGGTTTGCCTACGAGGAAAAACAATCCAGCACCCTACAGCCATGGGAATTCTCTTGTTGAAAATGCAGTTGGACGCATTCGACCTTTGGCAGGTACCCTGATGCATTTTCTTAGTGAGCAGGTTGGTATTGAGTTTTCAACGAACTCCCCATGGTGGTCGTGGGCATTCAGGCATTCATGCTTCTTGCTCAACCGATTCAGCCCTACACGTGGTGCTACTGCCTATGAGTTGCTGTACAACAAGGCTTACGGTGGCACAATTTGCAACTTTGGTGAGCCTGTCTTTGGATTTGCAAATGTGGTTGGAAAGGGTACAGCCAAATGGAGGCGTATGATTTTCCTGGGAAAGAGCGATCCACAGGACACCTATTTGCTGTTTGATGGACATGGGCTGATCTTGACCCGAAGCATCAGACGAATCTCAACAGTTTGGAAGGGACACCTACCATTCTATATGAATTTCAATTGCTGGTCTTGGGAGTACAAAACTGGATTTGGTGGCAGAATCATTCCCACCAAAGCGCAGAAGGGAGCTTTGTCAGCAAGTTTCAGTGGGCCAATTGGGGCAATCGAGCCCAGTCCTTTCTTTGATGAGGACGCAGAAGCAGTTAAGCAAAAGCACCTAGAGGAAGTCCGTGAGGAGACTGAGCTCACAGAGATGACCTTGCATGACAAGCAACCAGTTCCAGAAGCTCCACAAGTGGCAATTGAGGAATCAGCTCAGCCGAAGTATCCAAACCCCATTGGAGTTTTCGATGATCCACCAGATGCAAGTGAACAGCAACAAGTTCAACCAAGTTCCACAGATGCTCTTTCATCTGCGGCCATGCCTTCAGATGTGCCGCAAACTCCGGATGTGTTTACACAACTGCCTGCCACTCCGAGGCAAGCTGCACCTACAAGGCCTCATGGTGAGGAAGCTGAAGACCAAGAGGCAAAGAGAGCCAGAGTTGAGAGTTCAAAGAAACAGCGCTTGGAAAGAATAAGTGCCGAGTATCAGGCAATGGTGAGGACTGTGAAGTTTGGTGATGAAACTTTGCATACAATGGACGAGTACGACCAC